TGTTGCTTTAATCAACATCTAGAGACAACAGCATAAATTAAAGGTGGCAATCAAGGTATAATTGTCTAAATTATAGTGATCGACCTATATTTGCCGTCAGACTTTACTGATCTGCTGAGTTCATGTGAATTACAGAGGAGTTTAATTCATGTCCAGACTTAGGATCTGAGCAAACAGCACCCTCTTCCGTTTAACTAATTAACTCAATATGGTAGACCCAGAATTATAATGTAAATAGAAATGCAGGTACAGAATAGCCTGACAAACATTCAAGAATATGCAGCTATAGGCTATATAAGAGAAAGCGTAACGTGACATTTGACACGTGCACGTTGACCTGCAGCAAGTCAAGTGTTGTTCGTGAATGATTCTTTTAATACATGAATCAGTCAGTGTTTTGAACAAACCTTTCAAGGAAACGAATCGTTCTTCTCGTTCACTGCACTGGCTCATTTTTTCCTTGGAGCCTCTACTTACTAAAGCTTGTGCTTGCTTTGGTGGTTTCATTGATTTAAAGGCATACAGAGAGAAGACTGAATTTTTAATAAGACTTGTTGAACGACTTGAAGTGTTGAATCCATTTCGCGAATCGAGTCCAATCACTCATTTATAGCACAAAATATTCTTGCAGCCACATACGTTACTGGCCCAACGGCGCAACCTGCCGGATTCAAAAGATTCGAATGCATCAAAATTCCCACCACTAAAGTAAACATTTGACTCTCAAACTGATCTGGAAAAATACCCAGTAAAACTCATGATCCAACTATATTGGTCTCATCATCTTGAAAATTGAATAATCCTCGGCCGATTCCAGGAATTTATTGTGTCAGTTCCCGACAATGAAGCGTATTTGCTGTATCCGCACTACATTACCCACAATCCTCTGGTAACGTTATGTGCGTCTGGGTGTGTGAGAAAAAGATTAAAATTTGATCATCTGCAGACTTTGATTTAGCATCAATGGTGAGAACCGACCTTGTTTGGCTAAATAGGCATGCGAGATGTATCTTATGTAGCTAAGCTAGAGGTCTATCTTGCTACATTTCGTAAAGCTAAATCTGGTGTTTTATTAAAGCTATTCGACAAACCAACTTCGTCAGCTAGCTAACATAGCTAACTTAGCCAGCTCACTTCAGACACGCGAATCACTAGTACATGATCAAACGTATCTGCTTGTTTGTCTTTTAGCGTGTTTTGCCGTGTTAACATAATGCGCTAAACATGTTGTGCGTTTTATTTCCGTTTTATCTGCTGCTTTATAGGACAACGTCCACATTTTAGCAGTCACCCGCTAGCAAAATCTTGGCCGTGTCTCAAAACATAGTGAGCTGCGTACTTCAACAGCATTGTTGTCTATAATTGGTGCGTTTGAACATTTTGATTCTCCCCAGTTGTGTGAGACATAAGTAAAGCTAAAGCATTAATCTTGTGTGAGTTGTGATTTCTGTGTTGCTAACATTCAGCCCCGTCAATGTTTATTCTGACACTTGAAACGCTTTGATTTGTTTTGACGTTCTGTCAGGAAGTGTGCGTTGCCACGTTTAAAACAACAACGCTTTTCAAGAAGGGCTAGTTGACGCAAAAAGTGTTTATGGACATTTTTTTCTTAAGATTTTAGGTTAAAGGTTACATTTGATAAGAATGTCAAAATGAGATTATATTGGGTTCTGTAGCAGGTCAGCATTTCTACACATCTTACACCATTTTAATCACATTGTACTAGCTTATTTTAAACAGTCCTGTGGTTTGAGATCTATCTATCTATCTATCTATCTATGTCTGTTTATAGACCGATATCTTATGTTTGACTTATGTGACTTTTTCCCTCTTTTTCTACAGGCTGCAGCAGATATTTTCTACAGGGCTTTGCTGTATTATGAGCTGTAGTAAACCATCGCACTTCGATCATTTCTCAGGAGGATCTGTGGCAGGTGCCACTATCACTGTACCCTCACCTGACATCAGCAACCGGGTAAGCACGAATGGTTATTTACATTTATTTACATTATTACGAATATGTGAAAACTTCAGTAGCAAAAATTCTCATTGTTTTCTTATTTCATACTCTTCTGTATGCAGATGAAAATGGAAGCTAGTTTTGGATCCACGTTTCCAGCAGTCCCTCAAGTAGCAAAAGGTCAGTATTATCTGTTGGGCAACTTAGAGTCAGATAAGAAGCTGGAAAATGGTCATTAAAAACTAAAATATGGCACAAAAATGACATTATAAATGGTCCTTATAAGCCCTTATGATACAGCTGTTTTAAAATTCCTACACAATAAAGATTATCAAATGAATATTTAACATTTACATTTTGAGTTTTGTACCTCAAACTACTATGAAAGAAATTGCTGGTGTTGAAAATGACCCGGATCAGCATTGATTGTGCAGAAATCCTTTTGACCGTTTGCCTAGCAACAAGGTTCAATCAGTCGCTTGTAACTGTGCTCTTTCATTTCAGCGGAAACTAATTACAAACAGCACCGTAGAACCCCTTCATCCTCCAGCACTCTGACGTACTCCGCTCGTGACGACGATGATGGCATGGTAATCACGACGCCATCCCTTTTCAAAACAGCCAATCACATTTACATATTGAGGAATGGAAATCAAACGCCTCAGTTTTGTCATTGACGTACGTACATAATAGCAAGCTTTTGGAGTAGCTTATTTCCTCTTTGGGCAGGTCTTAGCTTAGCTTAGAGAGAGTGTCAAACCATACTGTTTTTTTTTTTCATTTATTTTTTTATATATCTCCCACACAGCCACGGCATGAATATTTACAAAGACATAGACTGTTCTTGTGGCTCTTAATGCCTGGCTAGGTGCAAAATTAGTTTATGGAAATTCAGATATTTACAATCAGATTTGCTTTTCACCAAATTTAAGTGAATCAGAAGACTGTTATCAGAAGGTGTTTTCCTCTAGTCGATCATTTTGGACATTCACAGGAAAGCCCTGAGATGAGATGAGATGAGATGAGGTAGTTGAATCAGAAGTTAGAAAAGTTTTACTACTGTTGATTTTGGTAACACTGAGATGATTACAGCAAGCTCAAAGGTATTTTTGTAGGATGGGGTTTGTCTAGGAGGGAGTGTGTCTGATTCAGTGGCTTTTTGTAATGCTCAGCGGGGTATTCCAGAAAGCACAATTACTTAATCACATAAACCAACTTAATTACATAAACCCAGAACTCTTGATCTAAACCTTTCTTAATTGTAGTTATAAGTTAAAAAAACGCAGCCAAGAGTAAGTTCAGACAGCTTCGATGAACGGTGAACAATATATTGTTCACGGTGAACACGCATACAAAAAAAAAAAAATAAATAAACACTTGTGGAAGGAGATCAACCGTGTGTGAGATGAGAATAAAATAAATAATAGTACAATTAAATAAACGTTACGTTATATTAGTGCTTTCAAATTAAAAACAATATATAACTAATTTAATATTGTGTGAAATCTCACTGAAGCCTCATCAGTGCACTGAATACTTCAGAAGTAAACTAACTCTGAAACATAGACTGCTCTGGAGAAGCTTACAGAATAAGTTGCTATGTCTGCTTGCATATCCTGAAAGTTGAGGTTATCTGTTTACTTGTACTTAAGCTTACCCGTTGTGTCACCTAATTGCTTTCTGGAATAGCCCCAAATTACATTTAAATGACCTTTAAAAAGTGTTTAGATGCAAACTGTCTCTGTCCCTGCAGCTGCCCATTAGTACCCCTCGTCGCTCAGACTCTGCCATCTCGGTTCGCTCTCTGCACTCCGAGTCCAACATGTCGCTGCGCTCTACCTTCTCCCTGCACGAGGAAGAGGAAGACACAGTGAGTGTCAGCAGTCTTCTGTTTCCTATTCACATGTTAATCTAGTATAGTGACGCAAAAGACTGACAGACCTACACATGTGCCCAGCACGAGATTGACTTTCTCTTTCTCTCTCTCTCTCTCTCTCTCTCTCTCTCTCTCTCTCTCTCTCTCTCACCCACCCTCCCTCTCTTTTACTTTCCAGGAGCCACAGGTGTTTGCGGAGCAGCCCTCAGTCAAGCTTTGTTGCCAGCTGTGCTGCAGCGTGTTCAAGGACCCCGTCATCACCACCTGCGGAGGGAGTCAGCCAGCCGTCCCCTCACCTCTCCCTCAGCATAGGGCTGCCCGTCATGATCTGGTTCTAGGCCATGTATTGATTTCCTGTCACCTTGGGCCGTGAACAGCACGCCTCATTGACCTGTTTCCTAAGGCACTGTCAGGCTGTTGGACACCACAGTACAAGTGTCTGTTGAGAGATGAATTACTCTTCAAATAGCTGAGTAGATGAAAATGAAAATTCAGCTTTTATTCGCTCTCATTGTGCTCTCTTTTCTGTTCCTTTGTCACCTCAGCACACATTCTGCAGGCGATGTGCCTTGACCTCAGGTAAGGAGAGCATTTTTACTCTAAACATGTCTTGCTTTCACCTTTCCCATGATGACCGCTGCTGCCAGTAGATGCTTTTGTGCAATTATGGTTACAAACTCTCTCTACACTTTCCTGGACTTATATTTTAAATGTGATTAATTGGCCAAAAAAAAAAAGAGAAAACACAAAATAAACATGAATTTGACTAACAGCATTATTCTTTTGGTCAAAGATTCTATCGCAATAATGTTGTTGTGAATTATTTTGGCCACAATAATCATGGAGTGAAAATCTGATATCTACGGCAGAAGACATCCATTGTCACTCATTCATCAAATGTCATCTGAGGGGAAAACTTACCATCGAGGATGCCTAGAACGTATCCATGTAGAACTGCATGTGGCAACACATGTATAATAGTTTTTATATTAAATCATAATGAAACAATGCCAATCTTAATCAGTTTTTAAGTTTTTTTTTGTGAGGCTAATAATTTTAAATTCGCAGAGAAAAATAAAATTTTTTGGAGAAGGGTGCAACTTAAAATGTGAAAGAAAATGAGGGGGTCTGAATATTTAATGAAATTTGTTTGAATATATATTTTTTTTATTTCTAAATTTGCTCGCCGTTGGAACAAGTGCCTTAAAGTTAATTTTGGACCAAGTGCAGGTCTCTAGCTCAGTTCCTGTTTCATTTCCTCTCCATGCTGAATCTTTAATTTCATGCTCTTGGTCTGAGCTATGTTTTCGACATACAGTAGTATTTTTGTTTTGCCAATAACCTGTGTTTCTACAGAGAAATGCCCCGTGGACAATTCCAAGCTCACAGTGGTCGTGAATAACATCGCGGTGGCCGAGCAAATCGGAGAGCTTTTCATCCACTGCAAGTACGGCTGTCGGCCAGCTGCCTCGGGCAAACCCGGTGCCTTTGAGGTTGACCCGCTTGGCTGTCCTTTCACCATCAAGCTTAGCACCAGGAAGTGAGTACACCGGTTCATTGGATTTCACAATATCAGCGTTTAATTTCTATTGTTGCGACATAGTCATGAGTCATGCAAATTGAGTGTAATGACTTAGGATTGTGTGTGACAGAGATCATGAAGTAAGCTGTGACTACAGACCTGTTCGCTGTCCCAACAACCCCAACTGCCCTCCATTGCTCACCATGAACCTGGAGGCCCATCTGAAAGAGTG